AGTTATGTATTATGTATTCTTGTACTATAGAGTAAGTTTAGGTCCAACTTAGGCTAAGGTCCATCTATGTATCTATCTATATATCTGTGTATTTGTCTTTGTGAATAATACAGCGGACAGGAGAACAATGGTGACTAGAAAAACGATGATAATACATATTCGAACACACACAAACATCTTACAGTGAACTAGAAATGATCGATCTGCGTTCTGTGTTTCATTTTGCCAACCAACAATTCATTTAGTTTCTTTACATTGCCATTGTACAATGTGAAAACAACATTAACACAAACTCCATCACAACTTCAAACTCTCAAAACAAATAATCTCTCTATTTTCCACTAGACTGTGATAACTGATAAGGTCAAATCCCTTGCATAATAAAGATGAAGCTCAAAATATTAGCTCACACAGAAATGTGCAGCAATAAGTTCTCATAAGAACACCAAAACAGAAAATCTGCCATACCATAAAAACAAAATCCGGCGGCTTACGCATTATTCGCAGTGGAAGCAAATAACTGTACTTTGAGCACGAGAGATACCAAAAGAGGGAGAATATGAGGTCTCCTGAAAGCCTACATGGCTGCCCGACCCCTATTATTAACTGACAACTCGTGTTCAATTTCTCCGGTTAACCTAACAGAAAATGTGTCCTGTGATTAGGAGAAGAAAGAGAGTATTATTTTGGAGGCAAAGTAATAACAATACATGTTTATTTACACTTTTACCCTTTAGCATGTAATAGACACCAAGTTGTCATTTGTTGTTTAACACTTTTAGTTGTATTTTGTTTAGGGAAGATGCTACGGTCCAGTTACAGAACCATCCCGTCCGGGTTTGTAACCCCCGTCCGGGTTAGATCAACTATTCCCGACTGTTACATTATGATCTAACGGTTACAAATCCCGACGGAATGATTCCGTAACGGGACCGTAGCATTTCCCTCTATTCAGTATAAATAGGGACCAGCACTATTCATGTAACCCTAATCTTTCATTTTCCTTTTTTTCTCTGAATACGAAATGCCTCTCTAGATCTCTCTGTAAATCTTCTTCTCCATCTATGTCGATTTATGTTAATACAAAGCATTTAGATCGACTGTTTTCCCGAAATTTAGGATCAATTCGTTTCTTGGTCGAGATATAAAATGTCATCTTCAATAGTTTCCTTTTGCAATTATTTTGAAGGGCTTTATGTGCCATGGGAAAACAAAAAGAACAAAAAACTAAACTTAGAATGGAAGATAGCTATAGCTCACCATCTCTAGTGAGCTGACTCGATGGAGAAAAAAGCCATCTGCTTTATCCCTGAAAAAACAATTACACGGCAAGGCTTTAATTACCAGAAAATTTGGACATGGACAAAAAAAAAAGTGACACTACAAACTTTAAGGGCATGTGACAAATTACTCACTCTTTAAAAACGAAATTCTGATTTACAGCGGTAAAATAAGGACCTCTGTCCATTGAACTAACACTAGACGACCACATTCCACCCCCTTGCGCTTGATCGGCGCAACTTTTCGTGCTAATATATGCATCCTAAGGGGAAAAAAACCAAAAATCAAAAGTTGGATTGAGAAATAACCAGTAAATATAAACATATAGATTAAAGAAGCATTATAAAAAGGGTGCAAAGATATTGAAATATAGGAGAGCCACTATTATCAGCTCGTGATAAGGCCAAACTTGGAAAATCGGTTGCTCACCACTCCATATTGAAGCAATATGCTCCATAAAGGCTCAAAAGGACTCCCATTTTCCATTTTCAAGATATTGCATTCACCAAAGACAACTTTCCTGCATTAGCTCACAGGGGAAAATGAAGTAAGGAATGATTGGAACTAGCATGAGAGACATATAAAGATATTGAGAGAGTGTAGCACGAGAGAAATGAGTAGAAAGACACGTTATACCAATATTTAGATAATAAACTAGATTGGATGTTAATCTAAACTAATAACGGAGCTATGTCTAAATAGATTAATTTAATTCTTTATTAACTTTTTGGTTATAAACATAAGGAAGGATGTTAGTCTAAACTAATAACGGAGCTATTTCTAAATAGATTAATTTAATTCTTTATTAACTTTTTGGTTATAAACATAAGGAAGGTAGCAAATCTACAAATGGCCTGTATTCCATAATCAATGCCGTTACAGCAAATTTTTTTCTGTTGGTCACATGAAAAGTGATGCAAGTTGCATTATGCAGTGTCACAAACAGAGAGAAGGAATTAACCGTATTAGCATCGAAAGATTTACCACTCACTGTCGCTTTCTTTTAGAATCCTTGTCAACCACTGAATCTGATCACTTGCACGTACACTGGAGTGATCCTGAAAGCATAAGATCAAATAAGGTATTAGAAAACAAATGTAACCAAGTGAATAAATTGAAGAAGTGCACTCAGAAGACACTTACAAAATAAATAATAAAAAGAAAACTAGAAGCATTGACGTACATATAATATTTGCTTTTTGAATAAATTAAAGAAGTGCATCAGAAGACACTTACAAAAAACATTTCAGACCTGGAATAGGACGGCATCCAACGCAATAATATCTAAGGTTCCATAAGGAATCTCAATTTTCTTCAAGAAATATGTTCCATTTTGTCCGCTGAACGACCCAGAGGTGTACCTACAGGTTCGGTAAAAGCAGATGCGAGAATGGAAAAGCTTTCACTAAGTAAAATTAAATAGTGAGCCAAAAAAAATCATGAAATGCAATATACTTGGAAATTATTGACCTGTACCAAGAAACGACGTACCAGGGAATGTTTGGAAATTCAGGAAACATTGTTGCCTGTTACGAAGACATCAATTTGTAACTAAATCAACTTAGTGAAACGAATCATGCATAAAGCTATATTTTGCATAATTCATAAAAAAGGCCGCCATCCTAACAAGGAAAAGCATGATGAAATAACAAGTCGGTATATTCCCTCCCACCACTCAGCCACCAGTCCATATAATCTCAGTGGGAACAATGAGAGCATTGTATCATGATTGTGAATAAAGTATACATTCTTAACAGTCATAAAGCTAGTATAAGAATATCCAAAAGTTAAGAACATATCTATTTATATAATCTCCAGTTAAAACATATAAAGCATAGATTCTGCCAGCAATAAAATCGGAATTAATATTTTAAAGAGTTAAAAGAAGTAATATCAAATAACTATCAGATGTGCTGAGCAATAAGAAAAAAAAAATCTCACATTCTGTAGAAGTGGACTAGATTCCCCAAGTTCGCTAACATCAATTACAAAACGCGCCTTGTAGGTCCTCCGACCTTTTGCCATCTTCAATAACATTGAATTTGAAATTATTAAAGGGTCCATATGGAATTGCTTTAAAAGATACAATAATCAGGAATCAAACAGTTAACCCAAGTGGAAAGGTAAAAAGGTGCTAATGATTGTAAATGAAACTACTTCAAACCCAAATTCTTTTACAAGCACTAAAATTGTCAATCAAGATCATCTACTCTAGTGTTTCATGCCACTCTCCAATCAAACATTGTGAATGCAACGAATAGTATACGACTCGTCAATGAACACGGCAGCACGACTTGATACAGTTAAAACTTAAATAGAATATTACACACCAAATCAAATTATAATATCTCAGCAGCTAAAATCATCAACACCATCAACCCACCTCTTAGAAAGAAAAACTATACCCACAATAAACATTGGTCCCCACCAAAAAAAAAAAAAAAAAAAAAAA